GCTGGCAGGGAGACGGCTGTGCAGCGCTGGTGAGCGTCATGCCGTTGGGCACATGACTCTGGCATGTCTAGGGAAGGCCAGGGGCATTACAGAGCTGGTTCTGTTCAAAGAACATTGCAGGTTTGGGACGGTGGATCTGTTGTCTGCTGGTTACTCAAATCATTTTTTTTTTCCTTTCCCCACAGACTGTGTAACCCTGTGTGAGCAAAGCCACCCTCCGGGACCCATGTGCATCATCTTCTTTAAGTTCGATCCTCGCCCTGTTTCCAAAAATGCGTACAGGTAACCCCTCACTCTGAGTCTGCCGCCCTCTGCTCAGCCTCGGGTGCCCCACCGGCCACAGTAGCCATGTAGGTGGCCCAGGCAGGAGAGGCATGCCGCTGCTGCCCAGGCGGGGGGAGGGCGGCCCTGGGACGAGCTGCACAGGCCTGGCAGTGCTTCTCAGACCGTGGTCGCTCAGCGTGGGCGCTGGAGGGAGTACCCAATGGTGGTAAAGACCCTGAACCGATGTGCAGATTGTACAAACACACTAAGACTCAGCCTCTAAAGATGCCTGTGTGGGCGGGACGGAGGGGTGAAGTGGGCCCCCGGCAGCGGCACATCCCTGTGGGCTGACAGAGGATCAGGGGGCAGCAGAATTTGGGGTGCGGGAGCCCCACTTGCACTGGCTGGTCTATGTTGCCGGAAGAGGTCTGGGTAACGTGGTCAGGGTGCGGGGTTCCTGTTGTCTTTGGGACTTGCCCACGTTGTTACTGAGGCCAATTTTTCTTGTTCACTAGAGAGAGAAGACCGTGGCTTCTCTGTTCTGACCCGAGAGTCTCAGTCGTGCTTTCTTCCTCAGGCTCATCCTGGCATCCAACAGGGATGAATTCTACCACAGGCCATCCAAGGTGGCAGAATTCTGGGGCAGCAACAACGAGATCCTCAGTGGTGAGTCTTTCCTCGTGGTGGGTGGCCACAGCGTGGCAGGAAGCGCCAGCCCCAGATGGTTCTAGCAGTTACGGTGTTGCTTCCCCGTGTACATTTGGAATGAATAACGGGACACTGATGGGTCTAATGGGGTCGGCTCCAAAGTCTTGGTCCCGGGACAGTGTTGGGCTGGCCAGCCCCAAAATTGTCCACCCAGCACTGTCCCCTGGCTTCATGTGTCGTGGGTCCCCAGAAGAGGTAGCTGGAAGGATCCGTTGGTTTTATTTGGATCCACATGCTGTGGACAT